ACAATGAATGAACTTTTTTTTACTTTATGTATGTGTATATAGAAGCGATGGACCAGCCTAAACGTGTACGATGGCTTATGTAAATATCTGTGATAGGTCACATACCCCAGAAGAGGTTTTTTTATTATCTCTTTTTAAGCTTTAAAAGTTTTACCTTTTAAATCAACTGAAGATTTTTAAACGTACTTATAAGGGATTTTACGCCGATCTGGCCTGAGTATTGATGGTTCTCCTGATATAGGAGGGAGTTACAGAATAGGTAACAGGTAATAGGTAACTTGTTACATGTATATTGACTTCTGCTTTTAATTTAATTCAAACATTTATTTCTAGCAAAGAAAACACATGAAGCTTTTGTCCGAATGGTAGTAACATATACGCAATGAAAACTGCATATGGATAATATATTAATAGCAAAGTTCTTACCTATGTGTTTAACATTTCTTTTTATCAGAGAGAGTTTATATTTTATTGAATATGAATAGTAGTCAAAACATACAGTGTAATAGAGAATTTTGTCCCCTTTTCTTGTGGTTGCAAAAAGGTTTTTTTTTGGGGGTAAAATCCATACTTATATGTAACAACATGTACCAAAAAGTGCACAGCTAGACTACTTGCTAAACTAGTTGAAAATTGCATTTCAAGTAAGATTCTGGAATTCTTATAGAAGTAAGTCGGTAAAAAATGCGTGAAACTTGTTCTATTTAGCGTTCTGAAGAAAGACGACTCTAGCTTATCTTAAAAAACAAATGAGAAAAAAGCCTGAAAATTAAATAGAACCAAAATTGTATTACATAAAGACAAATGTGCACTTAATTGACGTTCTGTATATTTTGTTTTACAATCATTTTTTTGCAAATCGTACATGTAACCAGAGACATATATATGTCTCTGATGTAACCTTTGGACAAATTGTCGTCAATCGGCATTTCTCGAGTGAATCCGTTACTCTCCTGCTATAGAATTAGATGGAGGAACGGAATCGGCCGAGTTTAGACGATTGAAATTGTAGGATGGTGAATTTTGTTTTACAATCATCTTTGATAATCGTGTATAACCTTTGGTCAAATTATCATGCGATGAATTGCATGAACAATCAAAGACTGAAGTGATCATTGGCAAAAATCTAAGTGATTATTACTCTAATTAAGCTGATACATGTATCGTGCAGACAATAATTGTACAGAACATAGAAGATAAAACGATGACAAAAAAACTACTGGCAACGAAGGAGAAACAATTTGTATTAGCATCAGAATTTACTACACGTTGATATAGAAATCTATTAGACCACTGACAAGAGTGACAATTGTGCACATTTGAAATTTTTATCATTCAAATATTTGAATGTGTCGTAAAAGATTGCTATTATTATTTAATTTTACTACAACTTCGTTTCAACTGGAGAGCAACCTATAAAAATGATGTATGAGTTAGATGATTTAGTCACAATCAATGGTGCTGCACAGAGATCCATGCATGCCGAGAAGACAGGCTGGTGATAAAAGTCATACATGTAAAGTTTGTGATATAGAATTTAGTCAAGGTAGTGATTTAAAGAGACATGTGAGAACACATACTGGTAAAAGACCCTCATAATTGTGATGTATGTGGTAAAGGGTTTAGTCTGCTAGGTAATTTGCAGAGACACGTGCGAATACATACAGGCGATACAACAACTCGCCACTGTGATGTATGTGGTAAAGGGTTCAGTCGACCAGGTAATTTACAGAAACACATGAGAATGAAATTGAGAATGGAAATGGAGAATATGTTAAAGAGACAACAACCCGACCAAAGAGCAGACAACAGCCGAAGGCCACCAATGGGTCTTCAATGCAGCGAGAAAATCCCGCATCCGGAGGTGGTCCTCAGCTGGCCCCTTAATAAAATTGTGTGCTAGTTCAGTGAAAATGGACGTCACACTAAACTCCAAAACATATAAATGAACTAAAATTAAAACACATACAAGACTAACAAAGGCCAGAGGCTCCTGACTTGGGACAGGCGCAAAAAAAGCGGCGGGGTTAAACATGTTTTGTGATATCGAGATCTCAACCCTCCCCCTATACCTCTAGTCAATGTAAAAAAAAAGAAATACATAGCAATACGCACAGTAAAACTCAGTTTAAAAAAAGTCCGAGTCCGATGTCAGAATAGGTAACAAAAGAAACTAAGCAAAATGACAATGATACATAAATGAACAAAGGACTACTAGCAGTTACTGACATGCCAGCTCCAAACCTCAATTAAACTGATTGAGAGATTATGTCTTCTTCATCATATGAGAATCAAGTACAATCCTTCCCGTTAGGGGTTTAGTATATATATCATACCATCATAAAATATATGAGAAGAACATAATCCGTATCATGCCAACAACTGGTTTTAGAATAAATGTGTTTATTTCCGATGCAAAGACTCTATGAGTGAATCAATATTAATACCAAAATATGCAATCCTTAATGACTTGACAACAGTATCGTAACTATATCCTTTCCGAATAAGTCTGTTTAAAGGTTTAGTTAGCTTTTGAGGTGAATGCCGACATTTTTTGTGCTTTGTAAAGAATATTACCATAAAATATTGGATGTGAAATACCTGATCGTATAAGATGTCTGCAAGTTGATTTATCTTTACGAATGATGTCCTTGTACCGATGATAAAATTTAGTAAATGTTTTGACTAGTTTGTGATATCGGAAACCCTGGTGTAATAATTTTTCAGTAATACAGAGATTTCTTTCGTTGAAATCAAATTCGTTGTTACATACACGAGCGAATCGAACAAGTTGAGATATATAAACACCATAAGATGGCGACAAGGGAACGTCATCATATAAAAATAGATAATTAACAATAGGAAATGAAACATCATCTCTTTTATCATAAATTTTGGTATTAAGTTTCCCGTTAAAGATAAAGATATCAAGATCCAGGAAAGGGCAGTGTTCATTGTTAGTATTAGCTTTATTTAAAGTCAGTTCGACAGGATAAATCTCACTGAAGTCGTCATTATTGAGAGCCAATATATCATCTAAATATCTAAAAATGTTATTGAATTTTTGAATCAGATGTTGTTTCAATGGGTCTTTGTTGATTTTAGTCATAAATTGTAACTCATAACAATACAGAAACAGGTCTGCAATAAGTGGTGCACAGTTAGTCCCCATGGGAATTCCGATAACCTGACGATATACGGAATCTCCGTATCGAACAAAAATGTTCTCTAGTAAAAATTCAAGGGCAGTTATAGTATCAAAGCAGGTCAAATTGACATAGTTCTTCTGTTTGTTGTTACTAAAAAAATGACATAAAAGAGTTTGAACATATATATTTGCATTCCGACTTTTTAAATGCCCATTTAATCAGGAGTGTACACATACAGGCGTCAAAACTCATCACTGTGGTGTATGTGGTAAAGGATTTAGTCAGCATGGTAATTTACAGAGACACACCAGAATACATACAGGCGATAAACCTTATGACTGTGGTGAATGTGGTAGAGGATTAAGTCAGCTAAGTAGTTTACAGACACACATGAGAACATATACAGGCGATAATCCTCATGAATGTGATGTGTGTGGTAAAGGGTTTAGTCGGCTTGGTAATTTACAGAGTCACATGAGAACACATACAGGCGATAAACCGCAAGACTGTGGTGTATGTGGTACAGAGTATAGTCAGCTTAGTAGTTTACAGACACACATGAGAACTCGTATATGTCTGTAATTTGTGTTGTAAAGGGTTCATTCAGGTGTATGATTTACAGATGCACATGAGAACACATACCGGTAATAAACCTCATGACTGTGAAGTATGTGGTAAAGGGTTTAGTCGGCATGTTAATTTACAGATTCACATAAAAACACATACAGGGGATAAACCTTATGACTGTGGTGAATGTGGTAAGGGGTTTGGTCAGCTTTCTAGTTTACAGAGACACATAAGAACTCATACAGGTGATAGACTGCATGTCTGTGATGTATGTGGTAAAGGGTTCAGTCAGCGTAGTAGTTTACAGAGACACATGAGAACGCATACAGGTGACAAACCCCATGACTGTGGTGTATGTTGTTAAGGGTTTTGACCTCATAGTAATTTACAGATAGATTCACATGAGAAAACATATAGGTCATAAACCTCATGACTGTGGTGTATGTGGTAAAGGGTTTAGTCAGCATGTTGACGTAAAGAGACACATTGGAATATACTGGACATCAAACTCATAAACGAGATGTTTGTAGTTGAGGGTTCAGTGAGAGTGGTAATTTACATAGACACATCAGAACATGTACTAGCGATGAGTTCTATAAATCAAATTTAAGTTTTAAATAATGCATTTGAAGGTTTAGTAGAGGGTTTGATTAAATGATAATGTAAACTTGCAGACACATCACGGAGATCATTTACTGGTGATAAACCTATGATACCTTGGTTTGAACTGTTCTATCTTTTTTTTGTTTCTACAGGGAACAGTACCGGAAAATTGAAATGTCGTTTTAATAAAATTTGTTCGCGGAGTCGAACGTGGACGTGGTATGAAAAGACAATTATTGTCCGATGAGTTCACGCAAAGAATATCTTGCACTGACATTTTGGTAATTGTTAAATAATTGACACATATAATCAGGTGCAATACTATTTACACTTTCATACATTAATACTCCTTTGTGATATATGATTCTTTTTTGATAAGTTAACCGTCCTAGTAATTGTTTGAATAAAGTTTTTGACGGTGTATCATATGCTTTGTTAAGAAAGATTCTGGCTGCCCTTTTTTTTAATTTTAATTTTTTTTATTAACTTATTGCAAAAGCGGATATCTTAACACGATAGCAAAGACGTACACGATGTTTTTTAAAAGTTCATTATTTACAAAGATACTATGCAAGAGTGCACCTATATAAAACGGCGATTCATACTTGTATACAGAATGATAACGCTGGTCTCTTTCCCTCGACTTATATTCTCCCTGTAAGACAAACAAGTTATGAGTACACAACGATTTATCTTATTTTTTACAAACTGGACTAACTAACGAAAATTTCGAGTTTAAATATTGCGATTTTAGGAAAAGTCACCTTCAGATGTATGTATAAACTATTTGACATGTTTGATATCAGAATGCGAGTTCTTATTATTGGGACACTCAAGTGGTCGAATTGTGAGATTTTTGCTCTCCTATATAACTTACATATCAGTTGACCGACAAAAATCTCAAATGTTGTTTGTCATTAACTTCGACATATATTCCAAGTGAAAACAATTTAAATAAACGTTTAAAAAAAAAATCAAAATTAAACTACATGGGGGTCATTCGGGGTACTCCCACTCAGGGGCACCCAAAGGGTATCCTGTCCACAAGTACCTGTGGAATTATTCACATCCTCTTGAGTTCACATCAAGGATCTCACTATACAAATCCTTGATTTAGTGTTAAGACGTATTAACGGTCGGAGAAAAAATGACCTTGTGTGCAAAGCCAAAATAAAGATACTGATAGATTATTATTATTTTGTACACTGAAAAAAAAACACATATTAAAATCCAGGATAGTTTTAATCAAGGATACAAATCCTTGTTTTAATTAATTCTTTAAGAAAATATTCATTTAGATTTTATTTATATTGGTCCTGGATTTGTACTGGATTATCTGTACTGAGACTACGCACAAACAGAGAGTAAAATTAGTGATTTATTTTAAGTAAAACATGGTAAACATGGCCATATTTGTTAAGATGTGTCAGTGGCTAAACCAAGGATTTGTATAGTAAGTCTTACTATACAAATCCTTGGCTAAACTGATGAACAAGAACAATAGAAAATTACCTCTTCTTACAATCAGGGATTTAACTCTATAGGGTTATTAGAGAAATATAGATTTCACCACTGCAACAAGTGTGTTACGATATTTCTCCACTCAAGACAGTTACATTTTAGTATTTAAAGCTTGATGCTTGCTGAGCTTTTTAAATAATTTAAATTTAACTGTTGAGAGTGGAGAAATATCGTAATACACGAGTTATAGTGGTGGAATCTGTTTCTCTAATAATATTTATCCTTCCTTTTTCAAAGATTTGCGAAAAAGGTGTGTTCTTTATATGTGACGTCATCAGGCATGGTCGCCTTTTTTCATGACGTCACAATAGGAAATTTCAGAAGAAATCAAGAAAACTCAACGTCATAACTAAATTTCGACCAATCATTTGTCAAGAACAAATTGTTCACTAGTGAGGAGAAATATATTTCTCACACCAATCAAGAAATGTGTAAATAGCACAAAAATTAGAGAAAATATATATCTTGCATGTGTTATTACAGATACTTTCATGAGTTTTCTACTCTTTATTCCTTAAATTTTCTAATCTGTACTGCAGTCAAGGATATAACTCTATAGGGTTATTAGAGAAAAATAACATACATTTGTTATTGTGGACTAAAAAATCAAAGACCAGTGATAACACATGTATGTTACATGTTTCAAAGGGACAATATACATCATTAGTTTTGTTAAAATGTATACAAGTTTTATTGATATTACTGTTGTCTTTATGTATACTTAACTATATAAAGATATAGCAGTTCATATTTTGCCAATCATGCATAGTACACTTACATGTATGTTATTACAGAAAAAATATGCCTGTAATAACTAAAGGCCAAGGGTGTTATTACAGCTTCTCTTTATCACTCCAAAGCATTTGCTCAGACATACATCATGTTTAATTACAATATATTTTAATTCATTGTAAGAAATAATGATCAGAGCATGTAATGAGGTTCTGCACTAGTAAGCTTCCCAGTAATTCCCAAGTGCCTCATATAATAAGTTACATGCCTTTAATAACTAAGCCTTGTTATTACAGCTAAGATTATCACTTAAAAGCCTCGTCTCATTGATTTACCATGGTTAATGATAAATGTTTTAATTTAATTCAAAAATTAGTTATCAAGGCTATGCATTTAGTTTCTGCGCACAGTTTCAAGAGTTCCCTAGAGTCCACTAAAAATTAAAATGTTGATGGTTTATTTTACAAATAACAAACATATGTTATTACAGATTTAGAAAATTTAAGGATTAAAGAGTAGACAACTCATAAAAATATCTGTAATAACACATGTAAGATATTTTCTGTAATAACCCTATAGAGTTATATCCCTGACTGTACTGGGAACAGTATATCAAATGGGAAATGAATCTTGTAGGGTTTTCAGTATAAAATTGATGAAATCCCAAACTAAACGAGACTTCGCGAGATTTATGGAGTTTGAAAGGGTCTGACTGAAAACATTACAGGACTGCTAATGAATTAACCACATAATTCAACACATTCAACAAATTACAATGAATTGGTAAGTTTTATTAAAAGATCTTAAGGGCATACGATACAGTTACAGGGGAGGTAATGACGTTGGTAACGTAAATTGTTATTTTTGCGACGTCAAACTGTGACATATCGGAAAAAGATGCAGTTTTCGACTGTTTTTTATCATTCAAACTGATATAACTTGAAAACGAGTTCATGGACCCCTCTTTTTTAAAATGACATTTGCTACATTGATGAGCATTTGATAAATATGAGTTATTTGTAAAAATAAAATGCACAAATGTATAGGACATTTATATAAAACCGAATTTACAAATAATTTAACAAAAAACAGCTTGTGTGTATCTTTTAAAATAAAAAAGTTATGTATTTCTATCGAAAGGAAAAAATGTGTCCACAAATCCGAATTTTGAGCAAATATCTCAAATTTCGACCTCAATTTACTCAAAAAGTAGCAGATGAAGGTATATTTTTTATTACATATTTGATTTAATCAGGTAAAAAATAGCCTATATGCAAATTTTCTTCAAATATCATTATGGGACCAAAACTGTATCGTATGTCCTTAAGTAGATATATTCTGTCATATAAATGACCAATATGAGAGTGATTTATTTGATCATGATGTAAAGTGTTTTAATACTTTTATTATGGTTTGTGAAATTCTTGGTCTCTGGAAATGCCATCGACGTGATATTTATAATAATGTGTTTGCATTCTGTTACTAGTTCAATAGACTGGCTTCACTCATTACGTAGTTTGAATGACATTCAGATTCTATTGATATTAACAAAGAAACATGTCATCATTCGACTTATCATACTTGTGTTGAGTGTGTAGAAATGTATGTTGATATTCTGGCAAACTATTAAATTAGTCTAGCTTATTAGTCCCCAACGGACAAGTCCAAGTGACTTTAGGTTTGCACTCTGTCTGTCTATCAGTCCAGCAAATCATTTTTCCACCAGTTTTTTCTTCATGCTTGAAGATATGAGATTTGGTATATTGTTTTATCATGTCAAGTTACATCCGATAAAACTACTTTTCCTTTATAAACTAGAATGCTGAAAAGTCGCATTTAAAAACGATTCAAAGCTGAACAAAAGTACATATCCTTCAGTATATACTGAACTTCAGCAGGTGAAAAGTATTAATTATTTAAGTGCAAACTTAATATGTGCTGCATAATTTCTTAAAATATTCATAAATTTACAAAAAATTACAAAGGTAACAAAATAGATTCTTCTTTGTAAAAAGATGTGATTTACTTCTTAAGATTTAATCAGCTTCATATTAAAGAATTCAACATAAAGAAAACATACCTTTGTGCATTTTATACCACTTAATTTAAACCATCTGCGCCCATAATAAAAAAGAGTGAAAAATAAAAGATGACAGAGATTACAACTAAAAAGATATGCAGGACTGCCCCCCCCCCCCAATAAAAATCGAAGTGGTAGCTAACTTAAATCTGAATTACAGTCACTCTCTACTTTTTCAAATAAGTTTGCAAAAACCAAAAACAGGTGATAATTCTGCTGACAATTGTGCGTTTGCCTGATGATTTGTTTAGTAATATTGAGTAATTGCCAGAATACCTTTTCCTGATGCTTTGAACGGCTACTTCTCCGGAAAGAACTGTTCATTATGTTTTCCAATGCTTGTTGATATGAAGTTTCAAAGATCTATGTTAATTCTTCTTGGGACATACATTTGTACTAAAAGATGTTTTTTTGTTGTTGTATTTTTATATGTACTACCATCTTTTCTGTACTCTGAAACTTAAAAATGAAACAAGAAAAAGTTATTGCATTTTTTCTATATTTTACATTTATTATAGACTAATAGATCATTATTCCAGTTTCATAAGTGATACATGTACTGCATTTTTTCATTCCTTGAAAAACAGTAAAATAAATTTAAAAGTTAAACTTTTTTGTTGCTTTTAAAAATAATTTTAATGTCGCGCCTAACACAGTAGAGGGGCATCATGCTATCCAGTCCCTGGGTCAGTCCCGCCCCCGTCCCCATCGATCATGCTAATTTTTATGTGAATGTAGAGTTTAATAATATAATTGTTTTAATTTGATACCTACTTTTGTACAATTTGTTGTTAGGTTGCTGTCTTAATGATACTTCTGTGTCATTAGATATAATGGCAAACATAACATGATTTAAAAAAACATATATTTTTTTTTTTTTTAACCATTTGATATTGTTATATGTACATGTAGGCTGGGAACAGTAAAACTACAATACATGTTAATGTATATTATGTCCCAGATATAAGTAAAACAAATAGAGCTGAGTACAAATTTATGTCTTGAGACAAAGTATGGTTATTCTCTTTATACTGCAACAGTGAAATTTCTCACAAAATGAAAAAGAAATTTTTAATGGTAAAAAGCAACATTTTGAAATGTCAAATATAACGATTGCATTATTGATGTAAAATATAAGTTAACTTGGAGATATCACTATCAGTCAGCTTAACAGGGATGTAAATAAAAAAAATATATATAATTTTTTTTTCAACATAAGTATTAATACGCACAACTGCAATGATAATGCAAGAATGTAGGAGAGAAAATCACAGGACAAAAAGTCATAGGACAAAAAGTCATAGGACGAAAAGTCATAGGACAAAAAGTCATAGGACAAAAAGTCACAATTCAGTTTTGAGATAATTTTTCTTTGAACAAGAAAACCCTAATTTTGAAAATAAATTTTTGTTTTTTTTTTGAACTTTTATATATATGAA